GCCCCTTGAGGTGCCACAGGCTTCACCTTACGCAGACCCGCCCAGAACTGGTTGTCGTACTGATGAACCAGTGCCTTTGGGTTACACCTAAGTTTTTAACGGTCCCTATGATGTGAGCAACGTCAAGGTAATGTCAAATTATTTCCTATATTCTGTTTTTTTTGGAGCGGTTTTTAAAGGTTTTTGCTTGCCATAGGGTGTGTGTATTTGCTGGAGAGAGAAAGTGAGAAATCACCCCTCAGGGCAGATGGCACACCAGTCCCGTCTTCATTTTCCTCTCAGGACTCTAGGCATGCACGCATATACCCAGCATGGTCTTCAAACCACCACGTCTGGGACTTGAACCATGGTTAGCCCTGGGGGAATCCAGCGCTTTGACCACCATCTCACCTGCTGGCCCCCCTGTATTAGATTTTTAAAAGAATATATTCTGTTCTTAAGTCCTTTTTCCAGAAAAATTGGAGAAGTAAAGTTTTACCACTTCCTAAGATTAACTTTTAGGGCCTATAAGGAATTATATAAATGTAGTAACTATTAAATTATTCTCCCACAGTTTACAGAGTAATGGGGCATCTCTAATACTGTAATCTCTACCTTTATTTGGATTCTATTTTAGTAAATTATCTTGCCAACAACCCCTAAAAATCCATATTGTAAGAAAGAAGTTTATGATAGCCAACATTTGAAAATCATATAATCAAACCTTCTGCATCAGTGCACAGAAAAATATTGTGATCATTTCAGCCAGCTTCCTAGATAGCAAGTTTGTGTGTCAAGTGTGCATACCTCTGTATTCCGGGTTCTCTCTTAGCTTTAGTCTTTTTTTTTTTTTTTTTTTTGGAGAGGTTTTCACTATAGGGCACATGCGCTCACCAGACAGACAGAGAGAGAGACAGAAAGCAAGAAATCACCCTCCAGGGAGGATGATCATGCCGCAATCCCTTCTCCTCCATTCTCCTCTCGGGATCTTGGGCACGCACGCACACGCGCCCGGCGTGAGTTTTAAGCCACTAGGTCCAGGACGCGAACCGTGGTTGACTACGTGGGAGTCTAGCGACATAGCCATTATGCTAACTGCTAGTTCCCAGCTTTAGTCTTCTTGACACTGGCTGTCAATATCCCCTGAGTCTCAGGAACTCACGAGCTGTTGGCTGTATGATACTCTTCAATTGTTGGCCTGGCCTGGCCTGTGCCTCATGTTCTATCATGTTGTCCGAACCATTGTGGACTCTAGTCAGTATTGTTAAGAGAGTCATGGTAAAGACTAAATGTTTCTCATTTTTTAAATTTTAATCTGTAATTTATGTGAATTGAGTGGAAGAATTTTTTATCTCTTCATAACTGAAAAATATTTGCTGACAAATCTCATTAGCAACACTAAATAGGGGTATTAAATGAGTTACTTGTTAAAAATTTATGCACTAAAAATTTTTTAGTAAAATATCTTTAATTTTTAAAAGCTTTGTGCCTCCATGATATGCTTGAATTGCAAGGTGGTTAGGAGACCAAGAATCTTGGTCAACTTCTCTTTTTATATTTTTAAACTAATTTCAGGAAGTTGAGCCTCTTGTCAATGGCTTTCTTACAGTATTGTAACTCTTTTTGTCAACAGGCGTACCAACGTTTACAAATCCAGCAGCAGATGTTACAGGCCCAGCGTAATGTTTCCGGACCCATGAGACAACAGGAGCAGCAAGTAGGCATCACCTGGGTTGATTTTTATTACTAGCTGTAATGTCCCCTGTCTGAAGGGGTGCTAACTGATCAATGGCTAGATTGGTATTGATTGTTCTCTTGCTGAGCCTCCCCTTTGGAAAGCTCTGGGATCAGGTAGGATTGGGAGGAGGTCAGCCCAGCTGGTAGTGGCCTAGGCATGAGGACAGTGGAGAATGTACCCGGTCTTTGGACCAGCCACGCACATCACTTCACCTGGCTAAAGTGCATGTGTCTCCCCTGCCAGGTTGCGCGCACAATCACTAATCTGCAGCAGCAGATCCAGCAGCACCAGCGCCAGCTGGCCCAGGCCCTGCTAGTGAAGCAGCCGCCACCGCCGCCGCCACCTCCGCCGCACCTGTCTCTGCACCCCTCTGCAGGCAAATCGGCCCTGGATGGCTTCCCCCCTCACCCCCAGGCGCCCGGCCTCCCTGACCTGCAGACCAAAGAGCAGCAGTCTTCACCCAACACCTTTGCTCCTTACCCTCTCGGTGAGTTCGCATGGTCTTTGCTGCACTGGTAGAGTGTTACCTGGAGCCCACCTGTGATGTGGAGGACTACACTTCCTCTGTCAGAGTGACTGGCTGACGCTGAAGCAGCTCAGGGAGATGCAATCTCCAACAGAGTCAGAGTGCAGGTTTCTCAGTAAGTGGCAGTCCTGGCTGCCTTCTGCAAGGCTACTGCCACAAACACCTCCAATATGAAACCCTGTAAAATTGGATCAACAGAAGCACCCAAACTCTTATTTCCATGGTTGCATCTACAAAGTTTGTTCCATTCCCAGTTTACTCTCTGCCATTCTTTACCAGCCATTGCCCTCTAGCCTGAACCTCAAAGAAGAGTTACAGTGGTTTTAGTCAGGAGCTTCTTGGGGCCAGCCAATGGTGTGGTGGTGAAGGTGGCTGAATCCCAAATAGCCAGTCACATGGTTCCAGTCTCAGTCCCAGTGGCTTGAAAAAAAAAAAAAAATGTGTGTTATTCAACTCCTGTAGTGGAGAATGTGACTTGTATAATTATCAACACATAAACCTTGAACACCTACTTGAGGGAACACACTCTGCGCAGGAAGCTCCCAGGTCAGTGGAGGACATGGCACCCCGCTGTTCCTGCACTAAGGTCAGAGAGAGACAGGGTTATACAACGAGACTGTGTGGAGGACATGCCACCAGGAGGTAGAGGTTGGTAAACTGATTCCATGGGGCTCACTTGCGTGAGAACCCAGACACTCCCAAGCCCTGCAGGCTCATCTGCTGGCTGCTGTTTGAAAATGCAGATATGAGACAAAGGGAGTCACATCTCTAGTCCAGCCTGAGGGGTGTTAGTAGCAAACCAGACTAGAGCGCTGGAAGCCCCATGGCCGGTCATAGGTTCCGGTGGCTTGGAAACTCACTTATGTGCATATGCCCCAGATCCCAATGAGCTGAAGTGCCCAGGAAAGGGGAAGGTGTTTCCCTCTCTCTCTCTTCCCTTCTCTGTCTGAAGTGCATGTTCCCTTTCATGAGCAAAATAAATTAACTTAAAAAGAAAATACATCTCATGGGACCAGCAGACGGCATAGTAGTTATGTCACTGGATTCCTACTTAGTCGGCTGTGGTTCAAGTCCCAGACCCAATGGCTTAAAACTCACACTGGGTGCATATGCATGCATGCCCAAAAATCTCTAGATGAAAATGGAGGAGAAGGGATTGCTGCACGGCCATCCCCCCAGGGGGTGATTTCTCACTTTCTATCTCTCTGTCTCTCCAGCAAGCACATATGCTCTATAACAAAAATCTCTCTCTTTCAAAAGAGAAAAGAAAATGCATCTCTGAAGGGGCAAAGGGCATCATCACTTGGTGATGACGAATTGGCACCAGCTAGTACTGTCCTGCTCTGTAGTACTCCTGAACATCCCCCAGAGAATAGTGTCCTCTAGTCACTTGCTGCTTGGCGGGTAGTGAACACAATATGTCTTTGATAAGAAATGGAAAAATGCTAAGCTAGATTGCCAGTCCCTTTATTGTCCCATTCCTTACTGCTGCTTATGTTTGAGAGGTAAGAGTCTAGTAGTTACCATCTGACTTAGGAACTGGACTGCTTCGATTTGCGCCCCGACCCCACCACCCACTGGCGCACTAACTTGCCCAACTGCATTTTGCCTCGGTTTCCTCATCCGTAAAGAAGGAATACATACTTACTAGGTTCTTGTAAAAATCAAGCAAGTTCATCTGTAAAACTCTTTAACGTTGCCTAGCACCTGCACGGCAATACAAGACGCTGGCCACCGACATAACACTTCTGCTTCAGGAATGGCGTTTTAGAAAGAGTTCCATCCCTTGGGACCAGCAGATGGTGTACTGGTTATGTTGCTGGACTCTCATGTAGTCAACCGCGGTTCGAGTCCTGGACCCAGTGGCTTAAACTCACACCACGCACCCTACAGCAAAAACCTCTCCAAAAAAAAAAAAAGGAGAAAGAGTTCCATCCCACCCGATATCCTAAAGCACTTTAGCTTTAGCTTCTCATTGTCCTTTGTCCTCTGAACCTGTATTCTTAATGAAGTACCACACTCTTTACTCTTAAAAATACTTTTTCTTTAAAACAAATATTTTTTTCTTTTAAGAAATGAAAAAAATTGCTGTAGTGAATCTTCAAAATTGGATGAAAAATAACTCTAATAAAATTATGATATATTCATAGGCCAGCCTATAGCCTGGTGGTTGCCGCAGCTTGAGGCCCACACCTGGCAGTCTGAGAAACACACTGGGCATATGTGTGTGCCCTGAAACCCCAAAAGGAGAGAGAGATGGAGGAGAAGGGATTGTGGTATGACCATTTCCCATGAGGGGTGCTTTTTCATTTTCTCTTCTCTCTTTCTCGCTCGCTCTCCAGTGAGAGCACACACCTCAAAAAGAAAAAGAAAATGTTGATAGCCACATTAAAGTTATAAATGTCTTGACAATAAAGAGCAAATGAAAGTATAGGCAGCTTCACCTTTAACATTGCCATCCTGCTGTCACTCCGTTTCTCAGCAGTGTCAACTGTGTTGAAGAGCCTTGTAGGAACAGAACCGCGTGTAGGTGGGGGAAGCCCATAGCCCGTGTTCAGTGGCAGAGGCTGCCTGCCACCGTCCCAGAATCAGTTGTCTGGGCTAGAAGATAAGTTGTGTGACCTCGACACCCAGTGCGATGTGGTTATCACGGGGCTCTGCAGAAGGCAGGGTTCATGTCATAGAATTAGAGCCTGAGCCTCAGGCAGTCAGGCAGGGTTTCAGTAACTGATGCTGTTCCAGGTAAAGGGAAAGCCTCACATGGGGACTCTGAAGAAAGGAGCCGGGGAGTGTCCTGGAGCAAGGGCCCAGCCAGCCTAGCCAATCCGCAGAGGGAGAAGCTGGGTGAGACAGGCTGGGTGCAGATTGTGGAACTTAGAGCCCAGGCTTACGCCCGGAGCGTGCTGCCACCTCCCCTGACTAGGTCTGTGCCGAGGGCCCAGGTGGATGGGGCTTTGGCAGTGTCAGACATGCAGAGGTGTTCTGGTAGGTATGCAAAGTGCACACGAGCGTGCATGTGCATATTAATTACTGAATTCAAAAACTGGGAGATCTTCGGGGCTGGCAGGTGGCATCGTGATTAAGGCGCCAGACTCCCATATGGCTGACTACAGTTCAAGTCCTGGACTTGGCAGCAGCTTGCTTTCTCACTTTCTCTCTCTCTCTCTCTTTCTTTCTCTGTTGCTCTGTGGTCAAAATGGAAAAATAATAATAATGATAAATTAAATATAATTCTTTTTAAAAAATGGGAAATTTTCAAATAAAAACAGCTTCTGGCTCCTCATATAAAAGGCCACACTGGGTCTGCATTCCTAGGGCAGTCACTGGTCTGCCCTGTGGCCCCAACACCGAGATGGAGTGGGTGCCACCCTGTCCACCACGGTCTCTACCGTGCCACTAAGCCTTTGTTTGCATTGTCCCATTGGCTCCTGCGGCCATTAAATTTACAGCCCTGATTTGAAGTCAAGACTGAAATATTCAGCCCCTTGCCTGATTGTAGAGGTTCCCTCTGCTCGTGTGCCATCTGGTCTGTACGGGTAACTCCCTTAGCGCAAGATGGGAGCTGCAGCTGTTGGGGAAGAGTCTGTAGGGCCAGCCCTGTGGCCAAGTGGTTCAGGGAGCTAGAGCCCACAAGGCCGACCACACGATTCGAGTCTCAGACCGCACGGCTTGAACCCCGCAGGCGTGCATGCCCAAATCCCAGCAGGGTGGAGAAGTGGGGGAAGGGATTCCAGCATGACATACCGCATTAAGGCGTGCTTTCCCTCTCTCCCTCTCTCTCTCTCTCTTCCTCTCCCCCTCCCCCTCCCCCTCTCGCTCTCTCCGTCTCTCTCTCTGCTTCTCTCTGGCAAGTACGTGTGCCCTCTAACAAATTTTTAAGAAGGAAAGGAAAAGGAAAGGGTCTGTCAATCCTAGGCTGTATTTCTGCTGTTCCCTTCCAGTGGCGCGGTCTGCCGCCTCCTTGTCCAGTCTCCATCAAGAACTCCTTACTGGACCCTTTTGTCACTGTCTCCACTAACCTGGCAGAATCAGGCCTTGACACAGCCCCCAGGACCCGGTTTCAGCTGTAAAATGAAGCAGGAGCAGCAGTTCACCTTCCACCTAGGGCAGATGGCAGCACCCACACACTCAGATAGTTACGTGTAAAAAGTAGTTTGATGCTTAGTTCATAAACTTCTGAATAGCAATCTTTTGTAATGTAAATCGACAGAAGATAGAATCGCATTACCTCCACTGGTTCTTCTGCAGGTGGTACCTTATAATTCTTTTTTGCATTGTCCCATTGGCTATAGGGCACGTGTGCTCGCCTGAAAGAGAGACAGAAAGCGAGAAACCACCCCCCGGGGGGATGGTCACGCCGCAATCCCTTTTCCATTCTCCTCTCGGGATCTTGGGCATGCACGCACACGCGCCCGGTGTGAGTTTGAGCCAGCGGGTCCAGGACTCAAACTGCGGTCGACTACGTGGGAGTCCAGCAACATAACCATTATGCTAACTGCCGTACCTTGTAATTCTGAAAAGATTTGTCTTTGTTTTTAGGTTTTTGCCATAGGGCACATGGGCTCCAAGAGAGGAGAGAGAGAGAGAGAAATCACCCCCCGGAGGGGTGACCACTCTGCAATCCCTTCTCCATTCTCAGGGTTTTAGGCATCCACATGCACCCTGCATGATTTTGGTCTGGAACTAGAACCACTGTCAGCCATATAGGAATCCAGTGCTTTAACCATCACACCACCTTCTGACCCCCTAAAAAGCCTTCTTTTGATCTGGTAAGTTTCCATAAGATATTTTAAACTTAGGAAAGATTTTCCTAATTGTTTGGACAGTTTCTGTTTTTCTGTGGGCTGCGCCTGAGAAGCGTTGAAACTCAGTAGCATGAAGAGAATCATGGGTCTTTCTTAAGGACTTGGGGACCAGATGGTGTGATAATGGTTACGTCACTGGACTCCCAGGTAATCAGCTGTGATTCAGCTCCTAGACCCAGTGGCTTGAATCTCACACCTGGTGTATGTGCAGGCACGCCCAAAATTCCGAGAGGAAAATGAAAGAGAAGGGATTGCGGTGTGGCCAGCCTCCCCCACCCCCACCCCCAGCGGCTGATTTCTCGCTTTCTGTCTCTTTCTGTCTCTCTGGTGAGTACACATGCCCTATAGCAAAATTCTCTCTCAAAAAAAAAAGACAGCATTTTCACCTTAATTCAGAAATAATATTCACATATATTTCTCATGTTGCTAAGACAAAAGTATTTCTTCACCCACATTAAAAGTTTTCATTAGGGACCAGCAGTTACCGTAATGGCTATGTTGCTGGACTCCCACGTAGTCGACCGCGGTTCAAGTCCCAGACCCGGTGGCTTAAAACTCACGCTGGGCACGTGTGCGTGCGTGCCCAAGATCCCGAGAGGAGAATGGAGGAGAAGGGATTGTGGCGTGGCCATCCCCCCTAGGGAGTGGTTTCTCGCTTTCTGTCTCTCTGTCTCTCTCTGTCTGTCTGGCAAGTGTACACGCCCTATAGCAAAAACCTCTCTTTAAAAAAAAATTTTTTTTTTAAATAAAAAGTTTTCATTAGAACCAACAGGTGGAGTAGAGTTTAAAGTGGCAGAATCCCACATGGCCAACATCATGGTTTAAGTCCCAGACCAGTGGCTTAAAGATCATGCCAAGCTCATGTGTGTGAGTGCCCAAAGCCCAAGAGAAGGAAGGAGAAGGGATTACAGTCTGGCCCTCCTCCCTGAGGAGGGGAGGATGATTTCTTGCTTTCTGTCTATCTTGCTGGCAAGCACATGCGCCTTATAGCAAAAATCTCTAAAAATTAAAAAGAAAAAAGAAAAACAAAACAAAAACACAGAAAATCATGCTAGGAATGTATGCATGCGTGTCCACAATCCTGGAGGAGAAGGGATTGCAGTGTGGCCATTGCCCCAGGCGTGAGTGCTCAATTTCCCTCTCTCTGGTAAGCACCTAAGCCCTATAGCAAACTTTAAAAAAAGAACAAGGAGTTACAGTTAAAAGTATTTGGTCTCAAGTGAAGTCAGACCGCCTGTGAGGAGAGCTGTAGAATAAAATCGTTTCAAGCAGGAGCAGGCGGACCCTAACAGCATCTCTGTTTTCAGCTGGACTGAACCCCAACGTGAATGTCAGCAGCGTGGACATGACCGGCAGTTTGGCGGGGAAGGACCCGTCCCAGTCTCAGTCACGCCTCCCTCAGTGGACGCACCCAAACGCGGTGGAGGGCCTGTCCAGTGCTGCTTCTCCCCTGGACCCGAACCCCAGCAAGCATGGTGCGTCCTGGCCAGATCGCCTGCGCGTGGCCACTGCAGGCTGCTAGCTGGCCGTCCTGTGGTAGAGCACCCTCTCTGTGTAAAATACTTCATTTCAGGGGCCAGCAGGTGGCATGGTGGCATGGTTCTGGATTCTCACCTGCCAGTCACAGTTCAGGATCAGACCTGATGGCTTAAGACTCACACCAGGCACATGTGCGTGCAAGTCCCAGTCCTGAGAGGAGGGAAGAGAAGGGATTGCAGCATGGCCATCCCCCCAGGGTGTGATTTCTCACTGTCCCCCCCCCCTCCTGAGCACACACACGGTCTGTGGCAAAAACCTAAAAAAAAAAAAAAAAAAAAACAATTCCATTCCAGAATGCATAAGATCTCACCTAGTCAGTGGTCAGCCTTCTGAACCTCAGCCTCCGACCTTAGCCAGGAGAAAGCAGAAATGCCCCAGAGAAGCAGGGCAGGCCATGGCCCGTACTCCATGTGTTTATGCATGTGCTCCTCAACGACAGCGGGAGTGTCCTGAAAAGGAAGGTCCTCCACAGTCCTCGAGTAGAAAAGCAAGTACTTAGGAGAAAGAGACAAAAGTGGCCGTGGGGCAGTCTTGCCGTGTGACACTGCCTGAGCTCTGGACCCCTGGAAACATGCACATGGAAGGAGCCTGGCCGGGCAGCGTTCTCACCCCTGCTCTAACCACCGTGTGAGAAGGAGGAGGAGCTCCTTCCCAGCGGTGATTCCATCCGGACACCACCACGTCATGTCTGTCAGGGCACATTCCTTGGCAGGAGCCAGCCCCGTCTCGGACGGGTTTAGCCCGGGTAAACCTAACACCAGTCAGGATAATGTAGTGAGGGCAGCCGGCTAGAGGGGGCAAGGACTCAAACAGCGACTCTGATGACAGATTCGAAACCATAGAGATTCTGAGGTTGTCCTCGAATGTCTCTTATGGGCCACCCCTTACGGTGTGGCTCTGTGTTTCACAGGGATTTTCAATCTAGTACAGTCTTGGAGGGTTTCAGTCTCTCAGGGACAACCAGGGACAAAGTTTGGGCTAACTAAAACAGTCACTAGTTCTTGGAGAGTCCTGGACAGCCCTAGTGGCACAAGTCCTGTAGCCGCCAAGCTCATGACCTCTGGCTTGGCAGCGAAGGCTGAGCGGGGGTGTTCACACAGCTCTTGGTTTCCTGTGGCCCCGCAGGTGCTATTCCTGGAGGTCTGAGCATCGGGCCTCCAGGTAAGTCCTCCATCGACGAGTCCTACAGCCGGTACGATTTAATCCAGAGCAGTGAGTCACCAGCCAGTCCTCCCGTAGCTGTTCCCCATAGCTGGGCACGTGCCAAGTCTGACAGTGACAAAATCTCGAACGGCTCCAGCATCAGCTGGCCCCCAGGTAAGAGCGCGGCCCGCACCGCACACTGCAGCTGAGAGTGTACGCCCAGCCGGGGTGCAGTCCGGCCTGTGAGGAACCAGCACCTGAGCTGCAGGTTCTCGAAGCATTAAGCCCTTAACTTTGGCATTCTTGTTGGCAGTCCACTTGTCAGATCAGGTCTGGGCACCGTCAGCATTTTTCTGTCGCCTCGCAGTTCAGTACAGGGAGTGGGGAGGGTGACGGAGCACTGTACCACCTGGTAGGGTCGTTCTGACTGTGCAGACACCAGACACCATCTTGATGTGGCAGTTACAGTATGTGGCTTTCATTTGCTCTAAAGGATTTGTTGATTTCATGAGAGTCTAAGATGTGCTACATGCTTTAATTAGCAGATTATTTGAAAATTTCCACGTATGGGGAAAAAGGCATGTAAAAATGGTACAAAGCTATGGGAAGTCTCGCTGATCTGTGGCTTCTCATCTCGGTCTCCATAACAGAGTTCCATCCTGGAGTTCCCTGGAAAGGACTTCAGAACATTGATCCTGAGAATGACCCCGACGTCACCCCTGGCAGTGTCCCCACCGGACCTACCATCAACACCACCATCCAGGATGTCAACCGCTACCTCCTCAAGAGTGGAGGTGAGGGGAGGGCTCCTACTGCCTGCGTCTGGGAAGGTTGCGCTAGACGCCTTGGGGGCAGCAGGTGTGGTATGAGACCTGCTGACTGTCCCTTTTCCCATCACCTGACACACCATAGCCCAAGACATTGGGTAGCGCTTATGGGGAGACAGGTCCTTCAGAATGCTCTTACTGGGTTTACTAATGTATTAAGTATTACGTTGTCAAAGCAAAGCATTAGCTATTAAGCTTTTCAATGAAAATATTCCCATTTAGAATGTCTTTGGTCCAAACTAGAAAGAAATTTGCCCTTATCTATTCCCATCTGGTTTTTCTTTCCATAAAACATCTGTGAGAAGGCCGTCCCCAGGGCTTTTCCTTGACACAAGTCATCGTGCTGATTTTTGGCACACCCTCAGTCAGACTTCAGAGTCGAGAGGCGGAAGTGACAGGCTTAGCCCTAAAGTCACAGCATGTAGATTCAGGTCTCCAGGGGCAGGCACCCACGCTCCTTCAGGTGCTGGATGAAGACGAGCTCGAGGGAGCTCTGCGGGCATGGCCGTGTGGAAGGACCAGCTTGTCTCTGCTATGCAGGCCCCTTAGCTCCAGAACACCCGTTCACTCTGCTCACTGGGACACGGCCCGCTGGCATGAGCCGTTTGCCTCTCTGGCTCCTTGTGGCGGTAGGCTTCTACACGTGTGTGTGTTTGGGTAGAAAGCCTCCGTAAGTACAGGGGACCCTTCTGAGCAAGGCTGTGCCCCCCTCAGGTTTTCATGCAGTTGCAGCTCACACTGGGCGTTGCAGGTGCCCTACTGCCAGGGACAGAGGAGTGATACAGGAAAGAGCCCATGCAAGGTGACGGAGATGGGGAGGCAGAGCCAGGAGTCAGAGCCCCAGCCTCACTGCCCATCGCGCCTAGTGTAGCTGCTGAGGTGTACAGAATGGAGAGCGAGTCAGGGTACACCCAGGGCTGTGTGTGTGTGTGGGGGGGTGACGGGAGGTCAGAGTACACCCAGGGCTGTGAGGGGGTGACGGGAGGTCAGGGTACACCCAGGGCTGGGGCGGGGGAATGATGGGAGGTTAGGGTACACCCAGGGCTGTGGGGGGGTGACAGGAGGCCAGGGTACACCCAGGGCTGGG